AACAAATATGAAATTGAACATAAATTACTCATTATAATGCTGTCATCTCTCAGGTCAAGAAAATTTTTTATAGCCTTTAATTATATTTAGATAAAGAGCCATCAAAAAGAAAATCAGACCCCTATTCCATGCTCACCTATCCCCTCCTGTCTTTCAGTAATTGTCCATAGTTCCCTCTGATGTTTAATACTATATTATTTATAACCAACAGAAAGCCAAGGTATTAATCTACCAAATAATGTATTATATTACACTGTTTTCTGTACAGAGAATTGTCTATTTAGTGTACAGTTCACACTTTATTCCCACTGGAAACACATTGATGAGCTTAGCTGAATATTTAACGACTCTTCTCAAATAGTTAAGAAAATTGTAATAGTTTTAAAAGATTGTCTGTTTTTTGCATGTTATTGTTCTGTGTTCTTTGGTGCATTATTAAATTCAACAAAAATTATTTAGTTTTGTAGTACCATTAGTATAAAAAAAAAGGGTTAAGTGTCTTCAATAGTCTATAGCAAAAAAAAAAGCCCAGGTAAGTACCATATTTCTTGTTTTTCATGTGTATTCTTTACATATTATTATAAAAGTAACTAACCTCGTATTGAGTTAAGGTAGAGAAAATAACAGACAAAGTATAAAGTTTAACTGAAAAAAAAAAAACATTAAGCAAATGAAATTTGAGACTCTTCAGATGATGAGACCTTTTTTATTCTTAACATGAAAATAATTTTGCACTCAAAGCGGTCAACACTTTGATTCCATGTATTCATGGAAATTTTTTTAGTGAAAACACTTCATTAAAAATTCTGATTTTGTGTCTACAAATGGCTAAATGATTACTGAAAGATACACAAACCATATTATAAGTTAAAGTATGGAAACTATAAAAGTCAATTTAGGGTCACGAACTTCACCGATTCAACAGAGTTCGTAACGAGAGTTAATTTGAAAGAAATGGACAAATAAAAACAGCTACACTCTTATAAATAATATATATGTTCCTCTGCATCTTTAGATATACCATTTACTCTGTTTGCCTTTTTCAGTCTTACATTATCTTTATATTCTTTGTAATAGTACTGAACAGTACATCAATAGCAGGTCTCTCTTGGGGTCTTACTTTACTATTACAATTCTTTCTAATACAGTTTCACCTCTCAAAAACAAGAGATCTGTTTATTTTAATAACTAGTAGAACATAACAAACAAACTACTAATCTGGAGTATTAAAATTTTTTTGAAAACTATTTAATCTAATACTTACCAAACAAGCAATATACACTTTGTACACAGGATCAGACACCATGGTGGCCATGATGCTACAACATATTTCGATGATACGTCGGCTACAGCTCTGTTTAGTTATCAAGTTCTCTTTTCCAGATTCAGAATTCTCTTGATTGAGAGACAAGTTTGATGTAACTTTCCGAGCCAATCGACACAGTGCTGTTTCTCGCACGGTCCAGTTACGTGAAAACAGACAGTTTATCAGGTCTTTTTCAAACACCTAGATAAAAACATTACTAAGTTAACAATTCAGGAGAAATATTCATTAAATCACTAGCCAGAAAATAAAGTGTGGTATACTTCCATTCATTCCAATGTGTTTATGTTACATCTACAAGCTCTTGATTCTTTATCAGTTTGCACAGTTTATATGTTAGCTTAAAAATTAAATGAATTTACCACTCTCCCCATTGGCAGGTCAAAGTGCACCATGTTATGTCTTTCAAAATTTAAATAAACTATTATATTATAATAGTATATGAATAAACTTAGCATCAATATGTAGTTAATAAACCAAATTTTATAAGGAAATATTTTTTAAAAATCCTTAATCTTCCCCTAGTATGAGAATTGTGACGTTCGTTCTCTAGGTCTTCCCTTTTCTCTAATTCATTTACCACCCTTCCGAGAAGTATGAAGTTTCATGTAAATTACTCATTATAATATAGATATTATTTAGGCAAAACATAATTATTATAGCCTTCAATCAAATTTGTCTATGAAGCCATAAACTAGAAAATCAGATCAATTTACCACACCCACCTGTCACATCCAATATTTCTCTAAATACCAAAAGGTCAATGTTTTATACTACATTCTTTATAGCCAATAGAAAACGAAAGTTTTCATCTATCAATGATATTATAGTAAATTATTTTCTTTAAAGTATTATCCATTTCACTTCAAGTTTGAAACTATATTTTCACAAGAATCACATTGTGGAGCTTATCAAATTTTTTTAAATCACTATCTTGTGGATAGGAAGCCAGAAAAATGACAGTTATAGGACACTGTTTGCTTTGTGCATATTATTTATTATTCTGTGTTTTTAGATGTACTATTAAGTTGCATAAAAAATTACTTAGTGTAGTAGTACTATTAGAATAAAAAAGTAGGCTTAAGATTCCTCGACAGCACAAACCAATAATATTGAGGTAGGGTAATTAAAAATTAAAAACTACAAAATTTCTTCACAAGGCATGCTTATGAGCTGGTGTGTTATGTAATTCAATACTGTAATGTAAGCTACACATTTCCAAGTGATTTTTAACTTGTGTGCTGGGATTATTAGTTAGACACGATTCAATGAGCAATAAAACAATAAAATTTCAGTATAAACAGATGTATACGGTTATAAGCTTTAAGCTATTTACGATAAACAAATGTAGTTTCTTGTTACAATTTGCTGTCATTCTAGAAAGAAAAAAGGGGTAATTCAGATTTATTTCATATTTGCTTATGGTGGTTACAAAATCGGTCAAGTTGACCAAGTGCATATAGAGTTAGGGTAGAGAAATTAAATTATAACATATTAAGTTTTACTGAAAAATAAAGTTTGATATTTACTTACGATTTTTTGTGCACAAAAGACTTGTAATAGTTACTGAAAGCTTGTAAATTTCATAAAACACAAAACTTATTAAAAGTTGTAGCATGGAAACTGATGGTCATGAACTCAATCGAATCAACTGAACCCGTAGAAAGAGCTAAGTATAGGTAACAGGAAAAACAAAATTAGCAACTGTAATTTTTAAGTTCATTACCTGCATCCATGGCTGTGCTTGTTGTTGCTGGGCATGGGAGAGACTTTCTGTTTTGGGCAGAGAAATGGAAGTTGCAAGGTATGGCCTCATCAGAGGTAAGTGATGAGGACGAGCTGGTATGGTTACATGATGTTCTGAAGGAGACTGCTGAGAATTTTTAGCCACCACCTTTTCTGTCTCAAGTCTGTACAGACAATAAATAAATAAATTTATATAGACACACACACACATATGCACCAGAAAATATCTCACTTTCGTGGCAATAAAGTTACTACAGTTTGTTTCCTCAAAGTTAATTCTTACTAGTTCATTAAGTGATGTATACATTTCAATTATAAACTTGCATATAAAAGCTTAGAGGTTTTACTGTTTCAGGCTATTACTAAATTTCAACGACAATAAAAAAATAGTACAAACAAATGTGCTAAAAAATTTAAATAATAGTTACACTAAGTTTTTGACATTTTTAAACATGTATAAATAGATTTTATTAACTGGCAAAAAAAAACAGTTATATTTTTTCTTATCCTATTATTAGATGCTTTTTTCAGTTGATAATTAAGTGTACAATAGTTTCTTTTATTATTAAAACCTAAAAACAAAACCTATTTCAAGAAAGAACTAAATATGTATATACATTTCCTAACACACTCAAATTTGGCACAACCCACCTGCTGGGCAATGACCACTGGCTCCTGCAAAGAGGGCACAGAATGGGTTCATTCTGCTGTCTACACTCTTCTGCCCCTAATAAAAACATTAACAGTTATAAATATTAACTCCAAAAGATATTTTTAAGTAGAAAAGCCATGGCAGTGCTTAACAAGTCCACAAAATTTGTATGTTTAAACACAAATGAGTAGTTATTACAAGTTTCTTTATTAATTGTAACCTTTCTATATCAATCATATCTTTTAAAAGAGCCCATTAAAACTATTTAATTTGATCAATAATAAACAACATTTGTATTTAATTACACCTGGACATGTTTCTTATTGTCTTCAAATCAAGATAAGTAAGATTTATTTTGAAAAACAGAAAGTAATGACCAATTTAAAGTTTGTACTATATGTATTATGTGTCTCAAGTACAAAACACTTACAAATAGCTATACAATGGTGATGGAGTCTGTTGTGACAACCCTGTTCACATCTGACCAAAGATTCTCCTTCAACCATGTCGAGAAGGCAGATGGGACAGAGAGTGGATTCTTCACTCATTCTGAAATGGAGAAATTTCTTGAGTTGCACAAAAAAACAATTATACTTGAAGGACTTACTGCTAATATATATATATATATTTAACACAGCTCACTTAAGATTTAAAAATTCTTCTACAACAATTTTTTGTTAAACTTTGACTAGTCTCTCACTTTTGTTGTTCTTGTATTGCCGCATCAGGTAACGATGATTCAGACCGAGACAACTTGTTTACGGGTCGTGATACTGGTGTAGAAATATGCTGATTTATGGGACTTGCAACCTGAACTTGTCGTTCTTTTCGCAGGTGGTACTGACGAACCAATTCATTTACCTGAAAATTAAACATTTATGGTAACAACAGGCACGAGTAACATGAAGTTTGTGTTCCATGTCTACAATATAACCCATTTACTTTCACTCTAGCTAGGCAGAAGGCTCACTGTAAGACATAAAACACCGTTTAGTGTAGGTAGTATTATTAATTCATTTATTTTGTGTTTGTAATTCACTGATGTCATTGCTATGGAGATTTCTAGAAGGCCTAATTGATAGAAGAATAAATAGCTGCGACCCCGTGAGATGAAAGAGAGTAAAAGTAAAGTCACATGAAAGAGAAAATTGGTCAGAGAAAAGTTAGAAAACATAAAGTTAACCATCGTGAGAGTGAATGGCCTAATGGTTGATATGTTAGAGTAGGATTAACAATTTGAAAGAGATAAGGAGAATAATTTGTCTCATCAAAGAGAGTTCTAAACTAATTGAACCCGCCCATGTGGACTTTCACAAAAGACAGATGATTACTGAAAGTTCAGGATACAAATGCAGTAACTCATGTGATAGCATAAGTGAATTATAAATGGATACTATTGCGACAAAAATAAGAGAAAAACAGTTGGCTTTTCAACTGAATTGGCCTAAGTGGACTTTTGACAATAAAAGAACTGTACAGTGTTTAAGAAAAAATTATTATCTCCACAGTGTAAAGAATTTTTGTCCATACATTTTACTTGTTTTGATTATATATATTATTTAAAAAAAAAGTGGAGTCTGTGCTGTTTGTTTATTATCAAACAATTCACAGACAACTATTGTAGAGGAATCCTTAGCCCAAAACAGCCAAAAACCTACTTTACTATACATATATATACTATTAAAAAGTAAGTTACTGACAAATTACATCTAGATGCAAAACACAAGGGACTATTACATTACACACGTAATTTGGAATCATGTGTCAAAATTTTAAAAAAGGAAACTTTCATTAGAAATAAGCGATACACACATTGGTATGGTAAAAGCTAACTTTAATGAACAAATTCGACTACACAGACCAAATAATTTTTAAACCTAAAATTAATTAATAATGCCAATCTATACTAATGTTTATATATAAATAAGAATTCTAGATTAGCAATACCAATCCTACCTAATATATTTCAAAGGATATTAGCCCTTTTGTAACAGGAGCCCCTTTAACTCTCTCAACCCTGACTCAGTCAATTTGACCAACCACATGACCTCTTTGTACTCATTTAAAGTCTTTATAGATTTGATACTACTAACTTTTAATATAGTGTATATCTTCACAAAATTTGGCAGTGTTTCGGTTAACATTATAAGTCTTGCACACACATACACACAAAGTGAAGTATTTTTAAAAAACTAAAATAAGATTTATCCTTGAATATATGAAGTATTTGTTTCGAATGGTCCATGTGCAAAGATTAAGATTACAAATACTTTTCTTCATCTCAAAAATCTCAAACCTCCGAAGTACATTTCAAATGTTTGTTTTCAATAAACCTTTATATTTTTTCTTCCCTAACTCTATACGTGGTTGGTCATATTGACCAACCTCGTAACCACAAAAAAATATATCGAAATTAAGCTTTTTTCTTTATAGAATGACTTCAAATGTAACATGAAACTACATTCGTTTATCCTAAGTACCTTTAAACTCATAACAATACACATCTATTTATAAACTAAATTTTATTGTTTTATTGCTCTTTGAACCATGTCTCACTACTATTAGTGCCATTATAAGTTGTTAATCACTTGGGGAATGTGCAGCTCATGTTACACTATTGAATTACGTTACCCAGAAGCTACTCCAAGCTGCTCACGTGCATGCCACGTAAAATATTCTTATTATATTAATATTTATTTTACCTAATCTAACCTTAACAAACCTAAAAAGATCCATATAATCTAACAAAGGTTATTTTGAAATTGGCACCAAGTTGTCATCAGGGAGTACATGTAATTGACTGCAGTATTGTTGGCTGCTTGATCGATTATAGCACTTACAGTTGATTCTCATCCTAATTGTTATAGTTAGAGATGCAGGTTAAATTGTATTTAGGTCTTACTATATTATTTTATATTTTATTATTATATTTTAGCTGATTATGTATTAATTATAGTGCATGTTCAGTAACAAACATTTAATTATTGAACGTTTCGGGATACACATATTCCATCTTCAGTAAGCTATACTGAATATGTAAAATTATTAGGTACAGACATTTATCAAGTTTAAACATTCCATAAAAAGTAATTAAAATACAGAATAAAAGTATGAAATAAATTAAAAGACAATCAAATAAACAGAGGATAGAATAATGCAATGATATTATACAAGTATTTAGAACAGACTGAATTATAGTGAAGTTGTGTTATTATTTAAAGTTGGGAGTTCATTTATAATAGATAAACTTTCTTTAATTAAAAGTTAAATATTGGATGATCCAGATGAGATGACTTTGAAATTTGTAATCAAGATGGGACGGTTAGTGTTTTCACTGTGTGTGTGCAAATTGTGGAGTCTGGTAGATTTGATAGTTTTTATCAGTTCTGCTTGATACTCCCATATGTTCACAGATGTAACTGGCATATAATCTTGCCAATGGAAGTGGCATTACTGCCACCATGTGTATTTATATATGATCCTGAAATGCATAGGGGTAGGTAACAGGTCTTTAGATCGGAATAGATTTTGTATTTTGAAAGATGATTTAAATATAATTTGTAGCTGAACTTGTGGATAAAACGTTTTAATTATTCTTAAAATTTGTGCTTTCAGTATGAAACTTTGCTTACCTAAAAAAGGAACAATCAATCTTAATGGGTATTTATTAATGGTGTATGTTTTTTGGGGGGGTTCAAATTTGTGGAAAAGGAACTTGCGTGTTTGGGCTTGAATAAAATGCATGAGATTGCCGTTGTTTATTAAAATGTTCTATGACGTGGTGATTTTGGTATGAAAAGAGAGGTAGTTAGAACAGATGTTATATGCTCTATTGAGAAGGCTGATAATAAGGTTACATTTAATGGAATTTGGAATAAAACTGTTGAATCAAGTATGTAGGCCTATATATGTATTTTTATGATAAACAGAAATTGTAAAGTGGTTATCAAATCTATTTTTTATTTTTAATGACATTTTATAGCATGTTTAAACTTGATAAAATGTCTGTACTTAATAATTTACTACGTTCAATATAGCTTACTGAAGATGGAATATGTATATTCCGAAACGTTCAAGAATTAAATGTTTGTTACTGAACATACATGCGTCAAATGTTCATTGTTACTGCCATCGTCCTGTTGTTCATCATGTATTAATTATGTTTTAAAATGCATAATTAAAAGGTTTAAACATTTTTTTACAAATTCATCATAATTTGCATTTGTTCTCAAGGCTTACGATGTTACGCTCTGAACAAAAAATTTTCTGAAGGGTTGCGCATGTCACCCAAAGAAACTGTAATATGCCCCTAGGGCAACATTGACTTGAGTTAAGATAGTGAATAACAAGTGGTAAAGGACAAGAAAGTAAAATAAAACATTAAAAATTAACTATATGTGAAAAGGAAAAGACCTGAAATTACAAATTTAACAAAAGAAAAATCTTTAAAGATATTCTACAAAATATTAAAAGGCATGTTTTTTTTTCTCCATTTCCTAATTTTAATTATCTCATTGTATTGTACATTGATTGTAACAGCTAGAGTTAGGGATATGGTAGAGAAAATGAAAAATAAAATATAAACATTTAACTTTTAAAAACTTTTGATATCCTTTTAAGAGGTTCTAGAGAGCATGCAAATAAAATATGAAACTATAAGATGAAAAAAAGTATTTTCAAAATTAAAATGAAAACCACCTTGCACTCAAACTAGTTTAACAGTTTGAGTGCAAAAAACTGCTATAGATAAATAACATTTTCATTAGAAAGATGTAATTAAATAACGTCATTCTTTGTCTACAAAATACTTATAAACTTTAACAAAATCTTATGAGATTTTGTGAGGAATGCTCAGAGTCACTGCATGTGTTTTTCATACATGTCCTTGCCCAGTCAAAATGATGCAAAATGTATCAGCCTGTGCTGAAAGGGTTAGTTATAAGTTATTAATAATAAACTTACCCAATGTACTTTTATTAAATATAACACTTTAATTAGCAAATAACAAACTAACCTAATACATTTTTAAGAATTCTAAATTTTAACTAGTCCTATCTGACTACCAAACTTAATGTAATTTTGAGGAATGTTAACTTGCAGTAATATTGAACCTACCTAATTCATTTGTAATGTGTAATAACTTTTAATAAGTGTGTTTGGTTCAAGATTATTTTCAGTTTAGCAGCAGAGGGATAAAAATTAGTGTACATTTAAATTATACACTTTTGTGACTGGTTAGCTTTTTTGTTTGTTTGAAAGAAATTTGTTAAAAACTAAAACAAACAGTACTTTTAGATCCACTATCATATTTGAAAAACAGTAAAACATACTGATCAATGATGTTAATAATCCCAAGAAAACACTTTATTTATGAATTTGTCATTGAGTAATACCTACCTCAAAATTTTTCAGCGATCTACTAAACAATCTTGAATCAGCTTCATTAACTTGAAATACCCGAAGCATAATGAAGAGTATATGAATACAATGAGGACCTCGCCCACAAGAACAGGACTGAAAAGTGACATTAATTGTTTTAATACTCCACTACAGTAAAAAAACAAAGAAGTAAAAAAAGAAGAATAACATCAAATATCTTATCAAACATTTTACACTAATGATATAATGATATCAAACTACTATCCATATTTTATGTCGGCCCAACAGATCAAACATTTTAGCAGAATTCTCTATTCATATGCTAGGGCATTTTAATTCAAATTATTTTTTGAAATATCTAACACATTATACATATACCTTTACATAACACACTACTTCTAATAGTTGTAGCTACAGTGACCATTTCCATCCTACAGCTCTCTCTCTGACCTGTAATGACTTATAATGCTAGAAATATTCTACACAGTTTAAAAATTAAAAACAGCTAAATTCAGACAGAAAAAAAAAGTCAATAAAACCACATTTTACCATATTTCACATAACTTCAAATGATGATTCTACGTTAAAGGCATCAATATGTAGTCTGATTGTATTTCCTTTGATTTTAGCTGTTTTTAATTTTTAAATCTCTCTGACCTATCACTAGGGAAGGACTATAACCAAATATTTTAAATGAAAGAAACTTTAGTATCTGAATGAAAATCATAAAAGTATTAGAAAGTACAATCTCTTCTACACACATTACAAGTTAGGTTCTGCAATTTATGGACTGATTTTGAAATTTTATCTTCTTCATACTTTTGTAACTTTAAATAAAACTGTGTTGAAGTTAAAACTTACTTGTGGCCCTATGATGACCTTGTACTTGTGTTCAGGAGAGTCTCCAGCAACTAAAAATGAATGAGGACCAGGCTGGTTCAGTAAGTACAAACGAGCTCGTTTGGCTTTACTTATTCGTTTCCAGATACTTCCCACCAATGTATGGTCACCTGTGCCACTAGGAGAACGAACTTTTGGCTCAATAAAGCCAGAGGACGAAGGATGGCGCTTAAAATAAAATATATTGATTCCTTACAATACATATTTCATATACAAATGAAACAAATCCTTCTTTTGACAATTCAATTATCACTATGAACAGAAACAGAAAAATATATTCAAATACTTTTCCCATAGTTCTAAAACAAATTCACTCACTCTAGTTAGTTTACAAATTTAGTCGACAGTATTCAAATAACATGACAAATTTTCTTTTTATATTATTGTCCCTATGTTTTCAAAACAAAACAATAAGTATAAAGGTGCTTGTACCTTAATAACTTGAGAGCTGTAAAAGTTGTAAAACTAAATTTAACTTCTGTTTTTTAATGTTTTTCCAATTGTGGCAATTAATTACTTCTTACTGAACCAGGTTGGTTGTTTTCATTTATCAGCATCAAAGGTGGGAACCTGAATGAGATATTCTATAGAATTCAAATTTCAAAACAAAATCCATAATTCTTCATTAATTGCTCAGATTAGATAAACAAATTTATAACAGTTGATATTATTATATGTTATTTGTTTAAAAACAGAAATGACATTGAAAGGTAACTAAAATACTACCTAAATTCCCTTCATGACCAATGCCAAAAGCTAAGTATATTAAAAGGTGCTATTTGTAGAAATGAAATCGTAAGTTCCAACACTGATTGTTTCAAAATAGTAAATAGCAACCTTAGGTTTCAGTTTTGTGTACTAATCAATTTCCCTCCCACTGTTGTTAATACAGTAATTTCTTCCTTTGAAAATAAGCCACAAAATGATGTAGAAAATGCTTTTTCTAAATATATCCCCGTTTCTTGTGTTTTACTGTTTATCCCAAACTTATGCTATCAAAAAAAATTTGATTAAAAACAGAGAGTATAAAATTGACATTGAAGTAAAATTTAAATTTTTACATGGAAAAAAGCTGGGTCAACTGCTTTCCAAAACGTATATGATTAATGATACTTCAGGAAATGTTTATATAATTGAACGTACGGATTGCAAAAGCTGTTATATTGGTGAGATTCATGAACAACATTTTACTCTGTTTGTATGAACATTTAAAATCTCCATCTCATATTTTTGATCACGTCTAGGAACAATCATTCTTTTGATTCTTCTAAGATAAAAGTCTTCAGCAGAGAACACAACATTAACAGACAAAAAATAAAAGAAGTCTTATTAATAAAAAAAAACTCTTATTTTTAACAAATACAAATGTGTATATTTTAACAGCTCCTTTCTCTTTCTCTCTCGTATATAGACTGACTATCAATACTTAGACCGAGGCCTAAAATCTTTATTTATATATTCCCAAATTTGGCAGTTCATTGATAAGTTACTTTATTAAGTTTGCTATTGCTTGTAGATAGGTACTGTTATAGATTTTCACAAGATTCTTTTTCTTTTTAAATTAATTTCTGTTAGCCTCAGTTGTACTTGACCTGATGATGCCAGGTAAATCTGGTGAAACGTTGTGAACAAAATAAACAAAAGTTTTACTATATCCACCCAATAAAAATGAAAAACTTGTGTCTATTTATATCTTTGCTCTTACCCCACAGTAATGATTTTAGAAAATACTCACAGAACTTGGTCCACTAGGAGAGTTCTGTCGATTTCGATATGGATTTGGAGAACTTGGACGTGAATTTCTTGACAACACTTGATCAGAAGAGCAAGGTGATGGTGGCCGGGACAATCTTGAAACTGGTGATGATGGCCGAGACAATCTTGAAACTGGTGATCTTGGACGAAGGTTCGAAACATGTATACCATCTGCTTTAGATAAAGTATCTGGCCTGGAAGTATAATTCTGGCAATTCTGATACAGAATTGGAGAATTTGGACGTGAATTTCTTGAAGACACTTGTTCAAATGATAATGATGACTGAGTTAAAACTGAAACAGACGATATTGGCTGAAAGTCTGAAACTTCCTTATGTGTTATGTCTTGTTTATGTAAGGAACTGTGGAAATGCTGCGGTAAATTTGGTGAACTTGGACGGGAAGATTTTGAAGACACTTGTCCAGAGAAAGAAGGTGATGATGGACGGGATACTGGCAGTGATCCATGCTGAAGACTTGCAGTCTGACTGCTTGCTGGTTTAAGTAGTGAACCTGGCCTACTTGAAACCTTGTGGCTATTTTGAGACAAAGTTGGTGAACTAGGACAAGAATTTCTTGAAATTAATTGCTCACAAGAGTGAGGTGAGGGTGGACGAGATAGCTGTGGTACAGATGATCTCGGTTTTAAGTTTGAAACTGGTTTATGTTCCGATGTTTGTCTATTGAAGAAAGTTTGGGAATTTTGAGGTAACTCTGGGGAATTTGGAAGAGAAGTTTTTAAAGGCAATTGTCCAGAAGAGCAAGGAAAAGGTGAGAAAGTGAGTGAACCCGGTTGAAGATTTGTAAAGCATTTACTTGTTGACTTTGAGTATGAGACTGTCCTGTCCAAACAGCTTGATGAGTTCAAAATAGGTACATTTGGCTGTTTAATCAAATGTTTTGAAAAAGATGGTGATCTGGTCTTGGATGGAGACTGTGTCAAACTTGAGTTGTCAAGTACTGGTAGTAGTGATGGTGGGTTTTTCTAACATTGAAATATTTATATATATATATATATATATATATATATATAAACACATACACACACACAAAAATCAATGCTTTGCACTTACAAAAATTGTTAGTTACATTTGAAACAGCTTTTACCAAACAATAGCATCCAAATATAGAAAATACAGAAATACTCGAAAGGATATATCAAATGAAACTTTATAACTTTGTATGTTAGTTATGAATATGAATCTAAACAGGAAATCAAACCAGTACTTCAAAGTAATTCAGAGCATACTTTACACAATTTATAGTTAATAAACTAGAAGAGAACTGTTCCAAAACCAAATTTTATTGTTTAAGAGAAAGGTTTGTCAGAGAAGATTGTACTTGACTAGAGACCTTTGTGACCTGCACCTGCCTCAGAAACTGTCTGGATAAAGTTTTGAGCTGCTGACAATGAAGATACATACCAGCATCTTGAAACATCATCCAAAAACCTTTTAAGGCCAATACAAGTCATAGACGTATTCAAACATAAAGAACTACAACTATAAAACAAAACTTACTTTTAACGGTATTTCATCTTGTCTATGGACATGGTCAGGATGCTTTACTACCTAAAATAATACTAATGTTATGAGTAGAATGTATTTAGAAGTTCTATAACATTCTCACTATTTCTTGTAAATATCTACCGCAGAAAAACAAAAAGTCACTTCAAAATCAACAATGATAAAATCTATTGATTTACTTAGTGTCATGACAAAATTTTAACAACTTATAAAACAAAATCATTTTTCAAACATGACCACTTGTTTTTATTTTCTGCGTATTAATGCTATAAATGAGTAAAAGCAATATGGTGTAACAGGTGGGGATATATATATATATATAATATAATTCAAAAATACTTTTTAGAATGACTTGTTTAATAAATTTTCTGAATATATACTATCCAACAATTAATTAAATTTGCTCATAACTGAATCACTTTAAAAGACTTTATATTCTAATAACAAATAAATATTCATGACATAGTTCACCATGCAATTTAATAACTTCAAGTAACTTAAAACCTCTAAACTAAAAAAACGTATGAATAAATTAGGATGGAAATGACAAATGAAAAGTTTACGTCTTACACATCTGTTTTGTAAACACCAGTTTAATCATTTCAGTCAGTGTCAGAGCACTTAAAAATTCTAAGGAACTTATAAACATTGTATACGATGCTACAAATTAAAAAATCTACTAAATTATTCTTAAAGAGTTTTTGTAATATCAATAATCTAGTCACACTCATGTATACATAAGATTGCTGACTCCTCCCAAAGTAAACACCTGAAAATAATTAACAGATCTGTCAATGTTTCAAGAGCTGGAGGACAAAATTCAAGATTTAGAATTACAAGTTTATATTAATTACAATCTTTAGCTGATGTTGTATATTACATTTTTAACCTTTTGCTGGTAAGAGAAGCACTAGAATCAAAGGAAAACAAAGAAATGCAGATACAACTTGCTTACACATTCAATAAAACAATTCTTAAAATATCTAGGAAATATCTGATAACAAAGACCTGAGTTACAGACACAAAGTCACTATTGTTAAGCATGAAAAGTACATGCCAAATGAGGTTAGATGCATATGACTGTCAATGAAGCATCAACTGATTCCACCGATTTAAAGTTCAAAAGGCTTAACTCCAGCTAGAAACACAGTGTATCTACTATGTATAGCAACCTTAAGTCTAAATAACACAGCCAAGAATAGTTACTCTCCAACCAATACTTGTACTTCTCATCGGAGTTAAATCACAACATTAGCTTTAAGGTGGGAGTTTTCTGCTGCATGCCATACTCATCATTATCAAAATCTAACAGCACCATAAACATTTCATAAAAACATACATCATCAGTATCAGATTCATACCGCTGATATAAAAGATATACTGATTTTTAAGAAACATAACACTTAAATAATCCTTTCAAAAACTTTACATGTGTAAATTTTTTGACTTAAAAAAATAATACAAGTGAGAGATTAATTATATGTGTTATAATTTTGTGAAAGTAAAGATTTCCTAACTAGATTTTGCATTTTAAAAGGGAATTTTATTTATCAAATACTTAAAAATTTTTTTTTATGAATAAGCAGAAAAAAATTTGGTAAGATATGTTTCAGGACTTGGAAACAGGAATGTTTTATATAATAACAACTATTTTTGATGAAGACAGGAAAATAACTAATGTTTCTCACATTATCAATAACAGTTTGTGAAGAAAACAGTCAAATGTTTAGCATTATCTCAAATAAATTGTATAGTTTTAATTCACATTACTGAATAACACAAGTTTTTAATGGATATTATGATTAATGCAATTAAAAAACTGCTTGTTCAAGCTTAGGGATCAAAATCACAAGTTACCCCTTTTTTTACTATATATATAATATTTTAAACTCAAAAAGGTATTTTATCTACAACATTTAATGTACAATGAGCTCAAGCATGAAAACAACTTTTAAATCACTCTCCAAGTCTACATTTACACAATCAGCAACTGATAAAAATCAACTGTCAAGGATTAATTAGGAATGCAGTCAAATGAATTGGTAATATTATTTTTAAATATTGATGTTTCTCTTCCTAACAGACTTTAACAAAACTAATTATAACATGTAATTTAAAAGTTTAAAGATACCCATGCAAATATTGGTTTCCCAGAATGCACCTCACTCCATCATTTCTTATTATCACCATATAAGGGCAAAACCTTCTTAGTGGTAAATCTAAAACGCCATATGAAGCGACATCAAATCTTATATGCAATAAAACATCAGATAATGTACAAAATTCCAGCAGGTTTTTCAAAACATGTACAAATTGAAACAAAAGCTAAATTAAAAATATTATGTATAAAACTTTAATATGTGTATAACCAGCCACTAATATTATGCTAATATATATATAACAAAATTTACGACGAAATTTAACATGCAAAATTATACAAATTTTACCCTGCCATAGAATTTCAAGAAAAATACTAACCAATGGCCCCTGTTTACGTTCTCCTGCACTTTTTCTTAGTCCCGGTGTGCACGTCGCTCGGAGCTTCTCACGTATCTTCGCGTCTACAAGCGGTTCAAACAACTTATCCGGGACGGCGGCCATATTGTACGAGTGACCGCCTGCCAAGCGACAGGCCTACAATTGAAAGTTTACTACATCGACTTAACAGTGATGTACTGTCTATCGACTTAGCTGTTGTCTTTCTATCTTTTCTTAGGTGAAAAGGTAAAGAGACTGCCTGTGATGACAAATCTGAAAAAAAAAAAAGTAGTCAATAAACAGATATAATACGTTATATCACGCTTAATAAACAGCTCCTCTTTGAAAATAAATTAAACAGCATACAGACGTTGCTTAATTTTCTTAATCATACAAGATATTAAGCTTTATAATTAAAAAAAAAATATTATGCAGTTTATATGTTGCGCTAGCAGAGTCGAACTTTACAAATACATCTATTAATCCTAATATGTTACGATATACCACGCACAAATACTTGCTTGGTCTTACCAAAACAATGATAAACCTACCTTTCAGTACAAATGCTTTCTAATCAACTCGGGTTATAAAAATCAAAGTTCACCCCCTAAGTTACTACACACTGACCAAGCAAGCGCATGTCCACCCACGCGAAGTAGACGCGCACTATCGAAACAGTTCGGCCATTCAGCCTCATCAGGCTAACAAACAGCCTTGAGACACAAGGGCCGCTTTCTGTCTAAAGCTGGGTTTAGTCTGAAAGTAAGGGGAGAGGGTGCACACTTCCTAACCGTTCTCCCATCGAAACGCTGAGAGAAGGGTAGGGGGTAGGTTTGTTTGATAAGGTTGACAGGATGTAGTTATAAGAAAAGTAGATTGGTTTACTACGCTGTACTCTAATACGCACAAAATAAATGTATGCTTTGTTATTGACGCCCGTGTACATAAGCCAGCCGAACCATGATGTAGAGTGAAATATTAATCCAACGAAAGAACAACGGCGATACTAATGATTAAATACATATAAAATACACGACGTAACATGAACTATTGTAACCTAGGCTCATTTCCCCCAGGCTTATTCGATACAGGCATAATATCGTGTTCATTACATTGTGTTGGTTGTACTTCACTCTGCACAGACACACACACACACACAAAAAAACTATAACGTTACCTTTAGTTTAGTGCAATTGTTATTAGCAAAAAAATTAAATTCATACAGGAACAAATAAAATGTTCCACTTCCAAACTATTAGGTAAATGTAACAACTAAAGTACAAATCGTAAATGTAATTGTAATGAGCTGAAAAATAATTTAATCTCTTGTAAATCTTGCAGTATATTTGGTGCTTAATTTTGGTATAACAAACAATACCCGAAATTAAACTTTCAATTTCTTCCTTAAACGTTTGTACTTTAGAAAGTACATATATTTTCCCTGGTGTGAATTCGGAGTAAAAAGGATAATTTTCTGGATCATTTTGCTAGAACAAATTTTGAAATATGGAATTGTTTTTCAAAAGTACATACTTTTATACGTACGTAAAGTAAAACGAAGATGTCGAACGCACCTGACACCCTCCCAGGTCTTCAAGTCCTAAAACCCGAGAAGGGAAGTGTATGTGTGTCAAGAGAAATATCCAGAGATAGGTTTACATTAACAGTATCTTCCATTATTGTCCAAAATAACATTAAAACAAAACAACTTCGACAACAGCCGGTTCAAACACAAAGTGTTTCATTTCATTCATTAACCCCCTTCAGGCGGTAAAGCCTAGCATCAACAAGTTTCTGTTGACTTGAACCGATCCCTGGATATTTCCCGTAACATGCACAAACGTAGGTTTTTTTAAACCAAGGAAAGTCAACTCATATATGAATACTTATGTCAGATGACGGTATGTTCATTAATCTCTTCGTTCATTAAAACCTCAATATTTACTATATAGTCTTGACCTACTTGAATTTTAAGTTAAATGAGGGTGTTTTGAAACAACAGATCTTATCCCAAACTCTAACTCGTATGTTGTCCCTGGCCTAAACATGAAACGACCCCAAATTGAGGTTTGTACAAAAGAGTTGATATCATCAATTTCAGGCTTTCTAAACTGATGGTATAGTACTTTCTAACAAGCCCTCCCCCGTAACGTCCTAAATTAATAAATTATTAGTCAAGACGGAATATCAGTTTTTCTTAGTTATTATTATTTATTTTTTTTTATCTAAATCTACACGATCTACAGTACCGTATAGTAGCGTTGTCTTTGTGCACGAGAGCTCCATCTGGACCAAATAAAACTTTACACATAATACATATCATGTATCAGGCAAATTATATTTAAAGTTCTTAAATAACTTATCTAAAATCGCATCTATGAGGCGCCAAGTGTAACCATGCAATTAGTTTAATTTTATGTGCAATTTGCATACTCTATAGGTGTCACTACTATTTGTAAATTGACAATTAGGCTGATAAATATGCTTAATTTATTAAATATACGTGACAATTTACGATCCCCCTCACTTTTATTAATCGCCTCGTGCATATATAAATTTTAAAGTATATGTAAGAATAAACAAGTAGTTTAACAAAAACGAAGCGTACATTTGTAAATTGTTGTACCATTTCATTAATCGACGTTGAATTGTTATATGTACTGTACTTATCGCTCCCTTGCTCTTGACTACCCTACGCAGCCCTTTTAAATCTATACATTGGACTCAGTCTAAATAAGAAATCTTTCCATTTATTCAAAAATTAATCGGGCCCGCTTCACTTATAAGAACAACCTTTTCATTACGTCACGGAACCTTGCATGCAGAACAGCTGAATTAGAAAAAAAAATCAGGGCATATGTATATATTTGCACACACGTGCGGCTTTATTAGAGTTGTTTACGGATAATATTAAGCACATTTCTCAGCTATCAATTTCTTATGATATGTTTTTTTTTTCAGATAAGGACTGCTCCGAATATTTTTTCTTCGTGAAAGAATCCCCATGTAAAAAGAAAATATTATATATGTTCTGCTTGCATTAATATATTCCATAGATGTATCACTTAAAAAAAAAAACATACAAAAATACCGAGTTCAAAAGCATCACATGCCCTAATCTCGAGCAAATACTTTACATGAGGTGCAAACTGAAAGTTGGAAATGTAGTGTCATTGGCCTAATGTAAAAAGTTTGTAAATCAAAGAGGAGGGGTGAAATACACACCTTATATTACGCACAATCTGATGATTAAACTAAAAGATAGAAATTCTGCCAAAAAATAGAATAAGTTTATTTTGAATTTCGCGTAAGGCTACACGAGAGCTATCCGCGTTAGCCATCCTTAATTTTGCAATGATAGTCTAGAAGGAAGGCAACTATTCAAAAGCACCCACCCCAACTCTTCAGATATTCTTTATATAAATGATTAGTCGGTCTAACCGTAACATTATAACACCCCCATGGTTGAAAGAGCGAGCAAATACAATAAAAACATTGTTCATAAATTTAATAATAAATAGTTTTGTAAAATTATTAACGTGCTAAATTTAAACAACAACAACGAAAGAAACCGTATTTGTGGTGGTGGGGGAGTTTGGAAGATTACAATTTAAACGTTATTGAGAGTATTACTGAGATGGGGTTTGCGTGATATAATTGATCAGGTGAAATATGAATTCTCAGTGCAACCGATACATTCTTAAAATTAATTGCACTTTTCATCTTCTGTTCACAAAATATATTTAAAACAGGCTTCACATCTGAGCAGACATTAAGCGCGATTTGTGCTGAAACAATAATAATATTACAAATATTATGATTAGAACGTGATCTACAGTAATTATTATATCAAGCTGTGTTATAGAAAGTAAATTTTTGAAACCACATACTATGATTAGAACGTGATCTACAGTAATTATTATATCAAGCTGTGTTATCGGAAGTAAACTTTTGAAGCCACATACTATGATTAGAACATGATCTAGAGTAATTATTATATCAAGCTGTGTTATCTGAAGTAAACTTTTGAAGCCACATACTATGACTGCTACACAAAACTGCAGGGTAAGACTGATAGTGTCTCAATATTTCATTTTCAATGAAGATGACAAACAACTTGAAATAAATGTTTATTTATTCTACACGACACTATGACTTATGCCTTTTTCAAGGGTCTATGAACATCACAGGTTACAAAAGTGATTTTAAATTATAGTGTCTCAATACACAAGTTTAACTTTTTTGAACCAATAAATTCAATGATTAAATTATGGTAGCAATATAGCACAATAGAAAGCTAGCTATTTTTGTCTCAATAAAAAGGTAACAAACAGCATCTGGGTTGTTTTGTTTAGAGAGAGAAATATGTGACAACCCATTCATTACATTGGGTCAGAAAAAAACATTTCTGGGTATTTATGCTACTGGAAATAACTCTAATACAGGCTACTAATACTTTCATAGACAAAACACACTTGGTGTTGCCTGTTTTTAACTAAGCTTTTCATTTACACATATTTTGCACCTTTAAAATTTTGAGACACAAAAGTACACAGTTGAAACCTGACTAAAACTAACAACTCCACATGCACAACATTTTTTCAAGTATCATATTCATGCTTTATAGATTTAGTTTTTCCCTATGTCTGCTGTATCAAAGCACAACTTTGGGGCATATTATCATTCATGTTTTGTATTTACATATAACATGTCTTTCTGTTATTATTTATGATAGATAAGAAAAATGTAAGAGATTACTCACAGCCACTGAAACCACCTTACTGCCCATTTTATTTTTTGTGATGTAGAGGGCCACTTTAGGCCCTTAATTATCTACTATTTTATGGACATTCCTTGCAGAACAATCTGTTACAACCTCTCATTACTTGTATTGGCTCTAGAGATTTTAAAAAAACATCACATATTATATACATTACAGTATTGGAAATAAATAATTATAGGAAGTACCCTGTTATGTAAAATTTAAAACTTGTTTATTGTGAGATATACAGAGAATACTATTTATGGTTATAATGTTTCATCTGGTTAATGTGGCATTGTCAAGTACAACAACTACAAGGAGTGAACTCCTGATGTCAATAATGTGAAAAACTAGAGGATGGATATATTCGTATTTGATTGGTTGACTGTAAAACAATAAAAAACATGATGCAAATAGTCAAACAAATATTGTTATATATTTCAAAAAACACTGCACATCTCATGACTTTTAAAAACATTTATGCATCATTTTACTAAATTTTAAAAACACTGCATCTCCATACAATAACTTTGTACTGTCTTTGGAGAATAATCTGTTTAATGAAAATATTATGATAAATAAACATAACAGATTTAAATTTATTGAAATTAAGGAAATAACTGGGTAGTCAAGTGCATCTTATTTCACTTTCTTAGTGTGTGAATCCTAAGTTGTTTTTATTCCTCTATTCAGTGTTGAATAAAAGCAAAATCCTAAAATTTATATTGCAGTTTTTGTGCATATATTGTTGGATGGTGAAGGGTCAAGTAAATGTTTCTACCATTTTGTATGTTGAATAAGAAGTTTCTTTCAAATATTCGACACCCATGCATACATACATATATTTATTTATTTAATAAAGCCTACTTCCATCTGCAAGGTATCAATGTTGTTTCTCATGTTTGGATCAGTTTACACTACTTTAATATTTTATACTCTAGTCCTAGATAAAATAGCTTTCTTGTT